CCTTGAGGGCAAGGTCGCTTTCAAGGGAGGAGGGACTATTGAGACACAAATAAAGGGAATACAAGTGTACAAGAAAATGTCACATCAGCCTTTAAAGAATGTAACTAACAGCCAACCACTAGAACAAACTAACTAACAAACTGGACAAGTGGAGAGGCGGGTATAACAGAATTGTAACAGCAGTATATAAATAAGGAAAGGAAGCTAGGAGGGGATTATCGATTTGGAAATACAATCTCTCTTTTTTTTTTTCTCTCTCTCTCTCTCATTCAGGAGGCAGACTCCCTCGAAAGAGTCCCTGAGTTAGGCAGTCCCTAACATTTTGTTGCTGTTGAAGAACGATGGGGGTGAGCTGAGTCTTTGTACGAAGCAAGGTTATCAGCTAAAGATTGATTAAGCATTGAGAGTTTGTATCTGGGATGTAACACGGGATAACCGTGTAAAATTGTCTCCAAATCAAGTTTATTAGGGCCAGAATGTTTCTTATTTCTTCGATCTTGACTAGGGATTCAGTAAGGAGGGTGAAAGTGTGAAAGGGGATAAAGTTGTTGCTACGAATTTTAAGGAGGTAGTAAAAAGGGATAGTTTTCTGACAATTCACATAGACAAGGAAGTATGGACCTTGAGGGAGTGGCTAGTGTTGAAGGGGGGTGCAATGAAGAAGAGGGGGAAGACAGGGAGTATGTGGCTATGTGCACTCTAAATTCTACAAAGGGTGTATGTATTAAGTATAGGACCAAACCGTAAGACAATGATGAGAGTGGTGATGAAGAAATTGAGTGATAAATTAGATGAGGAAGAGATTGCCATTGACATGACAAATCAAACTGGAAGGTCAATGAATTTGGAGACAATGGTAAATACTGAAGTGTAGGTGTGCAAATCTCCCAGTTTTGTTTTATTCTTGGAGGGAGGATTATGCCAGGAAAACTTTTAGGCTATGTTTGGTTTGAAGGAAAATACAGGGAAAGGAAGGGAAAGGTAGGGAAACCTTTACAAACCTTGTATATGTTTCCCTGTCTTTCCCTACCTTTTCCTTAAAACCAAACATAGCCTTAAGGAATTGGAAGAAAAGTTTTGGGAAACCTCCGATGGTAAGGTAGTTAATCTAAATTTAGATTCAGATGTATCTAATCTAAGAAAGGATGGTAATCAGGATAAACTGAATCCATTTCTCTCAGCAGGGAAAGCTGATATAGAGGGTGGAGTTGAAGTTGCAGATATGACTTTTAAGAAGAATGCAGTGTTGGAATTGGAGAGATTGATGATGGCTATAGGATCAGAAGAATTACGAGAAGACTACTAATGCAGTAAATTCAATTCAAAGCGAAAATTTCTTCAGATTGTTCAGGTATTGAAAGTGTTTTCCAGGTTGAAAGTGTTTGTTTGGGGTTGGTCCTGTTAAGAAGGTGAAGAAAGTAAAGAAAATCATCAGAAGTAAATGAGATCGTAATCAGTTGTCAGCAGCATGATTTAATCTTTGTTTGCCTTTTGTGGTGATATGTTGGTGTTTTTTTCATATTTGTTATTGATAGTATGTTGGGGGGCTGATGTTAATTGTCTTTGTGTTTTGTTTGGCCTGTAGTTGTTGAGATTAATGGTGGTTTTTTCTTGTTTGGGGGTTTCTTCTTCTTTCGGCTGACCTCTGGTCACCTTTCTTGTATCTTTCTTTTTTATTCCTTTTAATAGATTTTATTTTATTACCAAAAAACTATGTGCTATCATTGCATCTATTTCCCAGCCATTTATGGAGGAATCTTGGCTTCCATACAACTGAAGGCAATATCCAGATCAAGGGCTTCTGTTGTTCAAATAGGTACCGCCACCTTGGGAAGCCTCATTAACCCTGCACCTTGTAACTGTGAATAACTATTTTGGGGTTATAGTAGATATTCCCATGGTTTAGGAAGACAAATATGTGGTCTGATTATCTGTTTCTGTTTCTGACACAACCCTACAGAAACAGAAAGCACAAAACCTTGTATTTTGTACTATTTTGTATGTACTTGTACTCCTTCCAAACTGAGCCTGAAGAGCTGGGCACAAAGTTCAATGTTTCTTCAATAAACTATTTTAGTGGGTGGACCACTTGGTAATAGAGGTAATAGTGTCCAAACATTAAGGGTTTTAGATTAAATTCATATACATAATTTAGACCGAGAAATCTGTTGGCCCATTCAAGCTTTGAATTTAACAAGGTGTCTCAAAGTGGGCTCGTTGAGTTGGGACAAATAATCATTTTGGGCTGATGAGTACTTCAAAGACATGGATTGCAACTGTAGGATGGAGATTAGGTGATGTGAGCTTTTGTTGCTGTTGAAGAACGATGAGGGTGAGCCGAGTCTTTGTACGAAGCAAGGTTATCAGCTAAAGATAGATTAAGCATTGAGAGTTTGGATCTGGGATGTAACAAGGGATAACCGTGTAAAATTGTCTCCAACTCAAGTTTATTAGGGCCAGAGTGTTTCTCATTTCTTCGATCTTGACTAGGGATTCAGTAAGGAGGGTGAAAGTGTGAAAGGGGATAAAGTTGTTGCTAAGAATTTTAAGGAGGTAGTAAGAAGGGATAGTTTTCTGACAATTCACATAGACAAGGAAGTATGGACCTTGAGGGAGTGGCTAGTGTTGAAGGGGGGGTGCAATGAAGAAGAGGGAGAAGACAGGGAGTATGTATTAAGTATAGAACCAAACCGTAAGACAATTATGAGAGTGGTGATGAAGAAATTGAGGGTGATAAATTAGATGGGGAAGACAAATATTGTTCCATGCAATAGAATGGAATGACGGAACAAGAGTCATGTAGCCAACCCCATATAGTTGGAACAAGGTTTATTTATTTATTTTTTTTTAAGCCAAGTTGGAAGTTGGAACAAGGCCTGAATGATGATGATGGTTTCTTTCTGTTTCTGCCTGCATGGACATGTTTCGTTGCATATCTTTATGGAGGATAAAGCAAGGAAATGGAACTAATGCCCTGAAACTGGTCCTGATGGCATTATTCCCTACCACAGTACCACTAGAGGGTTCATGATTCTTTAGGTTATTAGTTTTGATTTGCAATAAGCTTGCATGTCAAACCAGTGTTGTGATGTTCTCTGAAATCTGATATAGCATTATCATCTTCATTTGAGTTTTAATTTGCATGTGGTACCGAGGCTTCTTATATCACCARTACTTATTATAAATCTTATTTGCAGCATGGGGGGCCTGGTTGTGAAACAAATGCTGTACCAAGCCAAAGCAGATAATTACAATAAGCTTGTTAGAAACACTATTGGAGTTGTATGTTTTCTTTGGCATAAAACCTAACAATTAGAACTTCCTTGCATGTGTCATTGATATAAGGAGATCTTTACATCATGTATTCATTTTTCAGGTGTTCTATAGCTGTCCACATTTTGGCAGCAAACTTGCAGACATGCCTTGGCGGATGGGCCTTGTATTTCGACCAGCTCCCACTGTTAGTATATCTTTTTCTATGATGTACATCATTTCATGTATAGATAGTTATCTACATTTCTATGATCTCTCCTTCTCATATTGTAGATAGGGGAGCTAAGGAGTGGATCTCCAAGATTAGTGGAGCTTAATGACTTCATTCGCCATCTTCATAACAAAGGGCTACTTGAGGTTCTTAGTTTCAGTGAGGTAACATAGTCTGCATTCAAGATCTCTTTGAAATTCCATATTGCATGGTTGTTAGGCTGATTAAAATTTCGTACAGACCCAGGTAACACCAATTGTGGAAGGTTATGGAGGTTGGGCTTTCCGAATGGAAATTGTGCCAATTGAATCAGCATATCCTGGTTTTGGTGAACTCGTTGTAAGTTTTAGATTTTTTATAAGGATAAAGGATTAGTTGAAAATAAAATTCATATAGAAAGAAACTGATAAAAAATCATATAGAAAGAATATTACATGGTTAACTCATCAAATTAATTAAATGCTATATGCTTTGCTACTAATCTGGGCTTTTTTTTAGAATCTTTTCCTTTAGGAGTTTTTTGAATCTTTTCCTTTAGCATATATATATATATATATATGCTTATGCCATGCTTTTATATCTAGTTTTATGGAGCTAAAGTGTCATTTCTCAAGAGTTGTGGCTTTCCAAATATACTTGGTAAGAACATAATTATATTCCTATCATATACATATACTTTTTTAGTATGATATGTTAAAACATACCATTTATATATTTTAGAAGTGAATGCTATAGAGTTTTATCTTAAAGTGTCCATGAAGTATCTGGTATCATATTTAGGGCCTGTTCGTTTTTTGGATTTTGAGATGGGGGAAAATTGGTCAATGGGGAACAAGATACCTATGTTATTTTTTCAGATTTATGTGGGATACATGGAAAATTTATTTTCCCTGTTATCACTTACCTGGGTAAGTGATACCCATCTCCCAGGTGGGTAAGTAACTTTCCCACCTGAGGGGAAAGTTGCCAACACTTGGACGGGAYGAAATTGCCCCTTTTAATAATGGCTTTTTGTGGCTAAAACAGTTATTTGCCTTATTTACCTGGGAAATAAAAGAACATGGCTAAATGCACTTACCCGGGTAAGTCCATCCCTCCTATGTTGGATCACACTGATGATTGAATTTTGAGATGCCCTCATCCAAGTGTTTCAAATGTAAATACGTGGCCAATGGTCTTATGTTACCTGCTCGACATGCAATATCATGCAACATCCAATAACATGCCTGAATAACATTGGAATGCATTGGTAATTTTTTACAACATCCAGACCTATTTAAGAATTTGAAGAACACAAGTGCTCAACTGGTTGACAAGAAAAGAATATAGTAGACTTAGCTCTGAGAGTGTTGCATTGAGTGTAGAATTACCTGAGTTCAAACTCATGAAGCTCATTTTGAGTTCACACTATACCAGGTCAAGTCCAAGCTGATTTAGCTTAAACCAACCTGTGTTTGGCAACTTGGGTTTACGGATTAAAGTCAGATTGAATTTTCTGCTTAGTTCTTGGTGGGTTTTACTGGCCCCTGTAAACTAATAATGAGCTTCGAAAATTATTCTGTAGATTCAACTTCCAGCTTATACATCCAAATTAACTAAATAAGATTGGGAGGAACTTGCAACTGTAAACCATGAAAACAGTTCTACATATTTGGTCCCAACTTAAAATTCCAAAATAAGGGCTGCCCGGTGAATGAGGTTCCTGCCAATGCAGGGTCTGGGGTGGGACAGATGTACACAGCCTTACGCCTGCACATACAGAGAGGCTGCTTCTAAGATTTGTACCCTGGTCACCCAAGTTGCAGTGGAGCAACCCAAACTTCCAAAATAACTAAAGAAAGTAATTGTTTTGAGGGGAGCAGCTTGAGCTTGCTTAGTTAACA